ACAGAGAGAGAGAGAGAGAGAGAGAGAGAGCAACTGAGCGAAGCAAGAGCCAGTCTATGACAGACCTCTTTCCGTGGCCTAGACACCACGTTCCCGTGGTAGAGAGATATCTGCCGGGCAATCTGTAGCTGCTCCTGAAGGGTCAGAAACTCTTCATCAACTGTGATCTCCTGTGGATGACGCCATAGCTTTTACTTTCTTGCATAGACTTGTATCATAACATTTTCGAACCTGGCGGTGATTAGGGTCTCGGACTCGCAACCGTACGATCTTAGGTTCGATTCCCCTCAGGGGAGTGGCGTCGGTAGCCTAGTGGAGACTACGGGTTCGGGGATTCGGGCTCCAGCGAGGTCCGACTTTGTGTCCTTGGGAAAGGCACTTTACACGGATTTCCCATTTGGCTAAGTCCTTTCGGAAATAGATGTTAATCTCGAAGGTACCGCCTCTTAATTAAATAATCTTACATTTCTGATAGGAGCGTTAAACATAATATACCAGCTCACCATTTTCACCCTTCAGGGATCCAACTTTGTGTCTTTGGGAAAGGGACTTCGCATGAGGCTTGCCCATATCACCCCGGAGGGAATGGGTACATGGCTGTAGACTGCGCATGATGTCGGCAGTTTGTTAGTGTTTGAGCGCATGCAATTTGCCGCTTGCACTGTATGATTTCAGAGAACCACAGATTTGTTTCTGAATGTTCTAGTGTCTGTTTGGTAATCATAATTGTATTGCGGATAGAGCAAGCTGTAGAGCATGGATATGAGTAGCCTACACATTAAGAGATATTCTCACTAAATTTTGTAATCATTACAACGTTTTATTACTTAGCTGGATGGCGTTAAAGAGGTCCTCCTAAAGAATAACATATCAACAACAGAAGCCACCCACTTAGCCCTTGACCGAAAATTGCACTTCACCTTGACATCTAACGATACAACAAAAAGAAGAAGGGGGGGGGGGGATACTTAGGCCACTTAAAACGACACGAGACCATTGTGAAAGAGGATGCTTGAAGGAAGGATATGGGGAAGGAGAACCAGGGGATCACAAAGGGAAACTTGGATGGACAACATAAAAACATGGACTGAGCTGGATAGAGCAGAGTGTGCAACGGCAGCTCACGACCGTGAAGGATGGAGGGTCATTACACGTCAACCTCCGAGTCAGAGATGAAACCTCCAGGTAACTAGGTATCTGCTCAGCACTTAGTTGAGAGAAATTTAACTTTAAAATTTTTGAGTTTCATACTTTGTTAAGCTTTTTCGAATGCAATTCTTAGAATATCTTGATAACGACCCCTGAATAACCTTACAGCTTTCATAGAGGAGACGGAAACATTTAGTTATTGACCTTATGGTCTTAATAACTTAAAACGGCTAAAAATGTCAGATAGCAATGTGTAATTCTAAGGTAGCTATATGGCTGCAACACGAAAGGGTACAACTACGTCTTCCTCTATCACTACTACTACTACTACTAGCAGCAGCAGCAGCAGCAGTAGCA